CTCACACACCCCACACTCACACACCTCACACCCTACACACACCCACACACTCCACACCCACACACCCCACACACACCTCACACCCCACGCACACACACCTCACACCCCCCCACACCACATATATCCCCCACACCCTCCACACACCCACTCCCCTCACACACACCCACATACCCCACACATCTCCCACACCCTCCCCACACCCCACACGCCCCACACATCCCCCACACCCTCCACACACCCACACGCCTCACACACACACCCCACACACACACCCACACATACCCTACACATCCCTCACATCTCCCCACACACCCCCACACAACTCCTACACCCCCACACACCTCACGCACCCCACACCCACACCCCCCCCACACACCCACATACACACTCCCCAGGCCCCAAACCCCACACATCCCCACACACACCCACACACACACCCATACACCCCACACCCACATACCCAGCTCCCACGCCCCCAAAAACCACAAATGCCCACACACCCCCCCCACACACGACACATACACACACATCCCACACACAGCCCCACACACTCCACATCCCCACACACACATGCACACAACCCACACAAACCCACACCTCACACAAACACACCCCACATCCCCCAAACCCCACATACCCCACACACCCCACACCCACACACCTCACACATACCCCACACCCACAAACAGCACACACACCCCCACACACTCCACATCTCCATACCCCCCACACCCACACACCGAACCCCACACACATACCCACACACACCCACAAGTCCCACACACCCCATACCCCCCTCTCTGCCCGACGTGGAACCCTGCTCCGCTTCCTCCCTCTTTCCATCCCAGTCCACTCTCCTGGTAGGGGGTGCTCAATCCCTAGGGCAGAAAGTGATCAAAGGAGGTGGTTCTGAAGCCACGCCCACTGCCTGGGGAGGAGGCCCTGCAGAAGCCTGTCCTTTTTGTGGTCTGACACTCTACTTTCTGGGCAGTAAAAGTCTGAACTTGGGAAATGTGCGTGGGGGTGGATTCAACAACAATGAAAGGTAAAGCAGAAGTAACTGGAAGCTCAAGGACCATCCTTGCTCTGCCTGGGGACTGCACCCAAGACTGGAGGACCTCAGGGCAACACCGGGGAGGGGGGGCAGTGTGAAGACAGGGGCCCTTCTGCAGGTGCCGCCACTCCTAGACATAAGACTCTTCCAGATGGTCCCCAAAGGTATCTGCACACGCATCTGCCTCTCAAGATGGCAGAGTAGAAGGATGTGGGCTCATCTTCTCCTATGAGAACTCCAAATTTGAAACTAATCACTGAACAACCATTGACAGGAGAATGTTGGATCCCACCAAAAAAAAAGAAAAAATATCCCTGTCAAGGGCAAAGGAGAAGCCCCAATAAGACAGTAAGAGGAGCAAAATCATGTTTAGAACGAAACCTCAGATAAATATCAATAACCTCAGAGAGGCAGATGACACCACCCATGTGGCAAAAAGCGAAGAGGAACTGAAGAGCCTCTTGATCAAAGTGATAGAGGAGAGTGAAAAAGTTGACTTAAGACTCAACATTCAGAAAACTAAGATCATGGCATCTGGTCCCATCACTTCATGGCAAATAGATGGG